TCATACTGTCATCAGGTTACTTTAAGAATGGAATTTTGAAGCGATTCCCATTCGTTCTGTCATCAGGTATGAAACTTGAGAATGGAAATTGCTGCATCTTTTAAGCGCATCAATGTGACCTAGTTACATCCCAAGCTAATAAAAGGGACTTTTTTACTTTTCCGAGTTATAAAGCCTTTTAGAGCGCGCTAATCTGCTAAGTGCGGGTCATAATAATATTGTTATAACTTTGCAACTAATTGATGTTTAAATCTGAATCTTTTTCAAAAATTTCCTTAGATAGCCATCTACAATGCTGTTTTAAAACAAACAAAAAATTCAAACTGTTAACACAAGTTTTGCATTTGAAAACAAACACCCTCTTAATGAACTTGTTTAGCTCTTTTTAGCCCTTTTTTAAAGAAATTTGGCTACCACTAAAAATGATTCACGGCAACACAACACAACGTTGCACACTGCTTTTCACACTGGGTGAAAAGTGATCGTGTAAATTGGCTCAATGAGGGCAAATCGACTAATACCATGTCGCCACCAAAAAGTTAACCATCTCAAATCGAACTTAACCACATCACTAACTATTGCTGTCCACACTGCGGTTTGAGGTTTATAAAACAGTAAAAATGTAAAGAACAGTGTTCGGACTGAAACTCGATTCAGGACCAAATCACTGCAAAAATCGGAGCAAAAACAAATTTTCCGTACTAGATTGATTTTTAACCGACTTCCAAAAAAGGAAGAGGTTATCAGTTCGTCGGAATATTTTTATTATTATTTTTTTTTTATGTATGTTACCGCATAACTTTGCACCACGTCAACCGATTTCAATAACTTTGCAACGGAAAGGTAGTGTCTCAGAGGTGGTCCCATACTAATTTGGTTTAGATCCGATCATTGGATCATGAAATATATAGATATATATATATTTTTTTTAAGTCGGTTTTTTTTGCTAAAAATTACTTGTTTTATTTTCGTTTCTGACATTAACTCTTTGACTTAAATATTTTCTACTCATGCAAAAATAAGAACGCGAGGCAATGTAAGGATAATATGTAATTAGGTAATTTTTAGCACTTTCTATAAAGTAGAACATATCTAACACTTAATTTTTTAAAGAGCAATAGGATCTTAACCTTTTCTACTTTATATAAATTTAATTCTACATATGTTGTTTATTGGCGCATTGCTATGAAAAAGTTACTTTTTAACAGTGAAATTTGGCTAACTTTCAATTTTTTTTTACTGAAACCGGTGGTGAACACTCAAAAAACGGCCCCAAGAGGGGCATAACATGAATGCAAAAAAAAAAACGGAATAGTTTTGAAGTCAAGCGGAGTAGAGGAGTAGATTTAAAATTTTTTCAAAAACCGGAGTAAATTTAATCTGATCTTAGTAAAGTCCAAACACTACAAGGGAACGAATTTTTTACATTTTAACGCTACACACACAGATCACAGATGGCGGGAAAACACCGGGTTGTATCAGACTTTCGAGGTGGTTTCGAGTTGGTTAGCTTTTAACCATCTCAGTGAAATGGTTAAGTGCTGTCATTTTTATATGGCGAAACTACGCCAAATCAGGTGGGTTATCGGGATAACCAATTCATTAGCCATAACTACGTGGTTAGTTCCGGTGGGGACATGGTATAATGGCCGGTTGTTTAATGTCTGGTTGTCACTACCTCCCAGTTAAAGTTAAACATTATTATCGACGATTTCGACTTCATGCATACAACATGTGAGCGATAAAGCAGTCGCTGTATTTAACCGAAGCTTCTACCTCCGATTTGTGTTAACCAGACATTGAACCACCGGCCCTAAATAGCTAAGCTATTCTGTGCATTGAGTGGGATTTACTTCAACGCTTGGAATGTGAAGATTTTGATCGATCTGTTTGCGGAAAAAAGTCAGACGTGTTTGCATTTAAAAATATATATTAGAACTCACAAGTGTAATAAATTTTTAGTTGTATTATCATAGGTACAAGAAAATGTAAATTGGGGTATTCACGACGGTGTCGTAAGTGTCGTATTGTTGTATGTCATAAACGCCTAAATATATATTAAGGGGATTTGCAAAGTACCATCAAAGTCGTATTATGCCTTTTCGCATAAATAAATAGTTGGTTGTGGTTTCAAGTTCTCTAAACATTTATTTAAGCTTTTAAAGTTTTTTATAATAATAATAATAATAATATCCCAACGGTTTTTACCCTCCATTCCCGCCCATTCGCACGAGGGGCGCAGTCCGCATGACGTACGGAACCAATATTTTAAATTTTTGTGCCGAGTCACGATAGGCAGGAGTTTGTTAAGTGTCGAGATCTAAAACTGTTCAGCTACAGAACTAAATTCATCAGCTGATTTTATGTATTTATGTCAATAATTCACTTATTGAGAGAGGAGAGCTTTCTTAATGCTGAAAAGCGGATCTGATATATCAAACGTGCTGGAATGAGAGTTAAAATCCTGGCATAAGCAACGGAGTGGGTCGTGAAATTCAAAATTGGTTTTACAAGCTTTCAGAAATATGGGACAAAAGTGTCTTGATACGCGTGAGGGAACATTAAAGCTTACATCAGCCAGAAGAGACGGACTTGAAATTGAGCCTGTCAGTAATTTAACCATAAAAATTATACCAAGCACTTCCCTGCGACTGGCAAGTGTAGGAAGGTTAATAAGTTTTAAGCGACTCGTATAGGGTGGAAGACTATATTGAGAATCCCATCGGAAATTTCTTAAAGCAAAAAGTAGGAATTGTTGAATTGTTGAATTGAATTGTTTTTGAATTGATTCTATCTTGTCTGAGTAAATTTGATACCTTGGATTCCAAACCACCTAGCCGTATTCCAGAATCGGCCTAACTAATGTTGTAAACAGGGTTTTAGTGATATAAGGGTCACTAAATTCTTTTGACCATCGTTTCACAAATGCAAGTACACCTTTAGCCTTGTTGACTGTCACATTAATGTGAAGATGAAGGTCCACAAAATTGTATACCTGTTCCAGGTTATGGTTACCTATTATATAAGAAACTGGCAGAACAGCTCTTCGCGAGAAGCACATTACTTTACATTTCTTAAGATTTAGAGGCATAAGATTTACTTTACACCAGTAAGCCATGCTGTTTAAGTCTGATTGTAGCAAAGACCTTTCTTCAATTGAAACGTACGATTTATAAAGTTTTACATCATCTGCATACATTAAAATTTTGGAGAATTTTATATCTGTAGAAATATCGTTTATAAAAAGCAAGAACAGAATCGGGCCTAGGTGGCTACCCTGAGGGACTCCTGAAGTAACATCAATGACGTCAGAGATAGTATTTTTAAACAATACCCTTTGTGATCTATCATAGAGGTATGAAGAGATCCAACAACAGAAAATTAGGTGGAAGACCAAGAAGATCAAGTTTATAGATGAGCAACGAGTGGCACACTTTGTCAAATGCTTTACTGAAATCAGTGTATATAACATCAACAGTTTTGCCCTCACTAAATGCTTTTGAAATATAGGATGTTAATTCAAGCAAATTTGTAGAAGTTGATTTGCCCTTGCAAAATCCATGTTGACTGTATGAAATGCTTGAAGTGATAGAATGCGTCAACCGATTTGTTATAATTGCTTCAAATAATTTAGGAATTGCAGAGAGCTTAGCTATGCCCCGGTAGTTCTCCACTGAAGACCTGCTACCGCTTTTATGTAAGGGGGTTATGAACGATTCCTTCCATACAGTTGGAAAAACGCCCTCTTTAAGAGACAAATTAAATAAGGCTGTTAACGGCTCATAGAGATAATCAGCACAATTTCTAAGAAAATAAGTGGGGATCTGGTCAGGACCATAACTAAAAGACTGCTTTAAGGACTTCAGGTAAACTAAAACATCATCGGGAGATAGTATGGGGTTATGTATTGAGTTAATTGGACTTAGTTTAAAAGGATAGTCAAAGTATGCTTGGGAGTTAGTGGAATAATTGGATTTAAAAAACTGAGCGAACATGTTAGAAATTGTTTGATTATCACCAGAGACGCTATTTTGATACTTCATGGCGGAAGGAAACCCACGTACATTTCGCTTGGAGTTTACGAAATCATAAAATGACTTATATTATACGTCGTTTGATTTTACACAAGTAATGTTTATAACACATTTTGTTTTATTCAAAGAACTTGTGACGCAAAAGTGAGTATTTTACATAGTATGAGTGTAAGCCGGTTTTTTGTGTAATCTAAAATAACGTGACTTTCTGTTTTTCAAGTTTCTCAGTTCTTTAGTGAACCAGAACACACATGCGTTGAGGCACATACTTCTCAAATAATCTACGTACAGTACAATTAAAATGTGCAACGCTTTGCTCAACTTTTTCTTTGTATATAGGCCACGACAATTTAGACAATTATTTATTCAGTTTTTTAAAGTTGGCTTTCGAAAAATCAAAGCGAATATTTGGATCGTATGTTTGGACATCGCAATTTTGACCATCGTTTATAATTTCGTAAGATATCTCAATAGCAGGGTGGTAGACATCTTCGGCCAAAAGTGTTTACTACATACAACAATACGACACTTACGACAACGTTATGAATCTCTGAAATATGATTATTATCTTATAATTAAACATCGATTGAATTTAACCATATGTTTTGCATTTACTTATTTCGGTTGTGAATTATATACGCAAAGATTTTTTTAAATATCATGTAGGTTAAAGATAAAAGGACAGCATTTTTCACAGGGCACAGGTCGGCATTTTAAATAAATTAGGGTACTGCTAAGTACAAATCAATAATTGAACTTTTATAATGAAGCTAATAAATCAACTACTTTTTTCTTTGCTTGGATTGTAATAATATTTGTGATAGCTTTTTTGTAATTATATATATGGTTGAGGAAATATAAATAACTATGCAGTTTTAAGAAAATAATATATAATTTAAGTGTTTTTTTCTTCTCATTTTTAAAATTATTTAATATTAAATATTCATTTGTCTATTTCATTTACAGTGGGTTTTCCGATTTTATTATTTTACCTATGGGGGTCCGCCTATCAACGTGGGTTCTTTTGCGATGACGAGTCCCTGAAGCATCCATTCAAAGAGTCAACTGTCAAGAATTGGATGTTATACTTTGTAGGGCTGGTATTGCCCATTGGAGTGGTGAGTGAGATTGACCTCAATAAATGTTGTTTCGTGAGGGCCATCAATAGATATGTGTGTATATATGCTTATATACAAAGTAATTTATACAATAAAAAAATTTATAATTATGTGCATATGTACATACATTTCACATTGTATTAAAATTTGTTAACAGCACATGCATACATACTATGTACAATGTACATTGTACATTGCATGTACAAGTAATTTTTTCGTTATTATTTGGATAAACCCCATTTATTTACGAGTTTTTATGACATGGTGTTTCGAGGGGAGCACAAATTGACACAAACATGTGCATATGTATATACATAAATATATAGATACCTCGCACTTACTTATTACTACAACCAGGGCTGGGAGTTCTATCCGCATATTCCGGATATTTGAATATCTGGTCCACTGAGGAAAAAAATTTTAGAATCAAAAAAAAAACGTGCTAAATTTTTATTTATATTTTATTTTTTATTTTAATAATAATTTATGGAACCTCACTTACGCCGTTTTGCATTTTGTTGATACGCGGTTTTCTTCTTTAAACGACGATACATACATTTTCATGTATTTATAGGTAACTAGTAAATGATAGGTGATACAATCAAAGTTGTGGAACAAATATTGGTAACGAAGTGATATTCTGCCGAAATCCGCAATAAAATCCGCGTTTTGCTAATTTTAGTCCTGCAATTGCCACGCCCATTTCAAGGGGTTTGTCGCCTTAAAGAAAAATCTTGCCATATAATTATTATATCTGGATAGCAATTCTATCGGAATCCATAATAAATTTTACTTTTTGCAAAAACCCGATGTTTAACACCTTACCAAATATATCTTAACATAAGTTTTCGAAAAAAAAATTACAAATAATTGTTGATTCTCACAAAATAAACCAGCTCGTCATAAAAAAAAATATTTAAAAAATAGTTCTTGAAAAACCCCCATTTTTTGGAACCACATTTTTTATAGAGAATTAAACAAGTATTACGATGGTATAACTTTAAATCCCTAATTTACTGGTCTTCGCTATGCAAATCAACTTCAAAAAGTTCAACTGTTAATAGCTAAGTTAGCTTTAGGATAATCTTGACCACCTTATATATAGAAATGTTAAGCCCATTTCTTAGCTTTAAAATGGCATTAAGATGAAGTCTCTGTGATCAGCAGAACCCGAGATATAACGATTTGAAGGAGTACATGATTAGTCAGAATCACAAAAAAATTCAAACTTTGACAGATCATATCTCCAAAGACAAAAGCGAAAAAAATTCCTCGAACACGTGTTAGCTTATTTCATGTATAAATAAAAAAAAATTTGAAGCCAATCAAAAGTGTGGCACCAAATTTGGTGTCCGATATGAAAAAGAATTTCGTATCTTTGAATGCCCCAATAATTGGATTGAACACTTGTCCATTACTGTACAAATATGTCACTAAAAAGTGCATAATTTAATCTTCAACAACAACCCCATTACTTTTAGGCACCAGATGTCAAGTGTGAAACATTTTGTATTGCCCATTTCGAAAGCGATTAAACACTTAAGTTTCCAGTTGTTCGCGCCATTTGTTGATGTTATTAATTCCTATTTGCCATCGTCAGCTGTCGAAATGTAACAATTTAAAGTAGCCTCTTGGAAAAACATCGTCACGTTATATACGTACTCGCATAAAATAAATAAATAGATAAAATTTTGTCATTTACTCGTATTCAATTTAGACATACACTGAGGGGAAAAAATATTAAAATCAAATAGAAACGTAATTGATCTTACTATAAACGTCAACGAAAGTACTGTATATTAGTAAATATTCAATTCAATTACGCGCATATTAAAATGACCGCGTTCGTACTGAAAAAGCATCCGTGAAGTGAGTAATCAAGACAAAAACTAAAAAAAAACAAGTAAGAAAGTCTAAGTTCGGGTGGAGCCGAGCATTAAATACCCGGCGCAAGTATTAAATATATGTTTTTTCACCTTTCCGAAAGCTACCGCTAGATGGTAAGCCGAGGTGTATCAATTTTGAGTAAATTAGCGTCCTTAAATTTCGAAATATTGCAGTTTCAAGCATTTCTGAAATGTACCGTATCGAAGATTTTGTATTTCTCTAAATTACCGTTATATGGGATGTGGGCGCGGTTATTGTCCGATTTAAAAAATTTTCGGCCATTTGGTATGGTGTACCAAGGCCAACAACTGTGCCATGTTTGGAAGAAATTGGTGCAGCGGTTACCAAGATATACATATGTAACCATAAGTGGGCGTGGCTACGCCCTTTTTCCAAAAATTTATAATATTCTTATTTTTCGTCTAAAAATTATTGCAAATATCAATTTTGAGTGAATTATCTTCAGTAGTTACTAAAATATCGCAGTTTTCGTATTTCTGGAAATTACCGTTATATGGGAAGTGGGCGTGGTTAAAGTCCGATTTCGCCCATTTACCAACCTACCTTTGATTAAGGGAAACCTACATACCAAATTTCGTTGAGATATCTCAATTTTTGCTCGAGTTATCGTGTACACGGACGGACGGACAGACAGACATGGCTTAATCGATTTCTTTTTTCATCCTGATCATTTATGTATAAATTTGTCTATATCTATCTCGATTCGTTTTGGCTGTTACAAACAACCGTTATGTGAACAAAATTAATATACCCTTGTGCACAAGTGCGCTCGGGTATAAAAATTTAATTTGCATGTTGCCTGCAGTGGAATTCGAACCCGACCATCTCCGGATATCAACAACTTGTGGAAAGCATCTTTGCGCACTCAGCTACACCCAGGCATATAAATTTGCTTTCATATGTCGAATATCCATCAACACCACAGCACGAGATTTGTACGGATAAACATGTGTGTGTTGTCACCGCTCTCAGATCGGCTCTCTGCATGCTTGGGGTGCAGATGTGAACAGTCAAATACGTGCGTAATAAATTGTATTAACTTATATTGTATTATTTTTAAATACGAACATTTTTAAACGATAATCAAATATAAAGTATTCATTTTTACTATGCATTATTTCCCTCAGTGTACTAAACATTATTCATATCCATATGCACGATTCAGAAATTTTTTTCTTTGAATTATTGGATATTGCTACGTGCATGAGAGCACTGAAAATCTCTATATTTATTTTACCTTTTTGCACGAATCCGAATTTTAGCCAAATCACGTATGGCCTTTTTCACAAAAAATAAAATAGGTTTAAAGAGCTTGATAAAGTGACATTTTCATAGAAATTTTCGATTTAAAAAGGCAGTTAAATTCGTCTTTATATTTTAGGAATTTGGGTGTTTGGGTTTCGTTTTCACCAAAAATTTGCTTGATATAATTTTACTAGAAATACATTAGGCTGGGTATTATATATTATGATATCTTAGGTCTAAGCTGATTGTTATTGGCCACGAAAGATTAATTTAAAACTTATCTTTAGCCCGCGCAATTGAAGCAAAATGTATGAATTTAGAAAATGAAACTTTGGCTTGTAATACCTATGGAATTCGTTAATTGTTATAAACAGGACGATATATCAAATTAAAGGTTATTCAATTTAGTACCTCACGTTCATTTATCATCTTTCAATAAATCTACAAGTTTTTAAGATATTAATGTAAAACTTACAAAAACTATAATTTTCCCTTATGAATTTTCAATTCTTCATTACTTCAGTAACAAGGTGAAAAATACAAAAAAGTGAGTAGAGATTTATTTCAAATATGTTCGTGCTTTCGGATGTTTCGATAATATTAAAAAGACCATAGTCTTGGTCACGTCGATTTGGCCAGTTTTCAAGATCGTGGTAAATAAAGTCAAACATGTAGTTATTGTCAAAGATTAGAGCTAGTTTGATAAGTTAATAGTAGTTTCAAGCATATATGTAAGTATTTACATACATTAACATAATACAATTACGGTGAGAAACGCCCATTTTAAGTCCATTTGTGCAGTCTTGAAAATACCCTGCAGAAAAAAATTACCAATTGATAAAAAATAACCTACTTGTAGTTAGCTTTTTTGCGGGATTTCTATAAAATATATAACTTGTAGTTAGCTACAAAAAGCTAACTTGAAACAAGTGGACAAGTAATGCAGGAGTAAAGCTCGAGATTGTTTTCTTTAATCGCGTTTCTATCTAAAAATCTTGCACTTCGCAAATATTTTTTGAATTGAGGACAAATAAAAGGAAGATCGAAATCTCATATTATCATTTTGAAGTTATGTCTGACGGAGTTCGAATATGGGACCACCTACAGCAGAATATGTAAACAAATATGAAATGTGATAAAATAAATAATGTAAATAATAAAAATAAATAAAAAATAAAAATAAAATATTTTGTTTTTCCTATTGATATTTTATGCCCAAAAGTAGTTAGTTACAAGCTAGTTACATCAAATGCAGAGGTAACCACCCTTGACTTATATCTAATGCAAAGGTAACCAATATAGTTAGCTTTCGTCAAAGAAAATATACAGATAATATGTGAGTTTTAGCTGCTTCCTAATCAACTTAAAGTTAGCTTATAGTGAGATACATTTCCTGCAGGGTAGGTGCAGAATGGTTTCATTAGTCACCGAAGAAGCTCATTTTTCGCGGTTTCTAAATTTGCCGTTACATGGAAGTAGGGGACGTACAATATACATACATACATACATACATAAATATTTTAGTTAATTCCATAATGTGGAAAGTTGACTGTAGGTAAATGCAATAGTCTTTAACATATCCTGGGAAAACCTTTTGTGGACGATATTGCTTTGCATTCAGCTT